CAAGCTTATGAACTTTAGAACTTCAAACTTCTACTTTCGATGCCGAAACCTATCAAATCACATCCGATTGACTTCAAATTTTGCACACAAGTCATATTTGACATTACGGACCTACTCCAACTTCCGGAATCTGAATCCGACTTCGATATCAAAAAGTCCACTTCCGGTCAAACTTCTGAAAAACCTTCAAATTTCTATTTTTAGCCAAATGGCTTCAAAATGACCTACAGACCTCCGAATTCACTTCCGATCACGCTCTCAACTCCAAAATCACCATACAGAGCTACTGCCAGACTCGGAATCCCAAACGGACATCGATATCACTGAAATGCACTTCAACCCAAACTTATGAAATTTCTTTCAAAATGCTACTTTCCACAATAGGCGCCAAAACGCTCCCGGGTCATCCAAAACCCGATCCGCGCATACGCCCAAGTCCGAAATCATCATACAAACCTGCTGGAACCTTCAGATCCCGATTCCGAGGTCGTTTACTCAAAAATCCAATCCTAGTTAATTCTTTCAACTTTAAGCTTCCGAAATGAGAATTCTCTCTCCAAATCAACTCTGAACTTGCCGCAAATTCAATTCTGACCACGCGTACAAGTCATAATACCTGAAATGAAGCTGCTCATGGCCTCAGACTGCTAAACGACGCGCTAGGGCTCAAAACGACCGGTCGGGTCGCTACATTCTCTCCCACTTAAACCTATGTTCGTCCTCGAACGTGCTGAGAACTACACCGAAGTAGTCTGAAATCACAGTTTAATACCTCATGCACCTTCCCGTGCTACCACAACTCAGTTGAGTACATTAGCTCGATCAATTCTGAAGATATTCCCTTGATTCAAGCAAATAAGCCTTAGAGCATAATTCCAACATCCGGAATTCTATGCTCGACCTGTTTCCAACATACGCTCCCCGTATCAATAACTACACGCAGCCCCAAACATGACTGCATACCTTAGCTGAATTCACAACTTACACAACTTTACTCACAGAACCACAATAACATCCCCTGATCGAGTTAATCGAAATTCCACGAATCCGATGCCCTCATTGCACCTCATGACCTACATAGGTCTTGCTCTAATTCTTACAATATCGCCATGACGGAAGAGATGTGTAGAAATCCATAACCGGCTGCCGAATCAACAAATCATTAGGTCTATACTCCTGACAAGAACCATCACCTCATTCTGAAACAACTAATGGTCTTAGCTCCATAATATACTTCACATAGTCAGATTGCACTGATCCTAAATCCAGTGATCTCGTCTCACCCAATACGAACTGCTCAGGCAATAAGCCACCCCGGACATAATCAGAAGTCTCATATGATGCCACAATGTGCCAATAGGCTACCAATCGAATGCGATACAAAAGGAAAACAAACTCTGGAAGGAACTACCTAACTCACGCACCAATACGGACTTTCCTTAGAAAATAGGAAGCAAGGCATACAAAAATAGTATACAGAAAACTATATTGAACATCACACTGTCGCGGCGCGCAACCCGATCCAAATAACATACCCATGGCGGCGTGCCACCCGATCCACACATAGATCTCACATAAGGAGGTGCACATCGAGCTAGATTTGCTCATTACAATAAAATATCGAATATCGGTCACAAGCACGCTAGGTGCATAATACCATCCCTGAAGGGACATATAGCGCTATAAGCTACAAAACTCAAGCACAACTGAGGTGCGATATACAATCTGAATCTCAAAAGCCATTTTGCTCATAATACATCATTTCCACACGGATCCTCAACACATAAGCAATTTCTCAAGCCGTCTCACAACTCACACGGCGCAATGGATCACTACATGAAATATCTGACAAAGAAATAACACCCTGACTACTCCTCCATAAGGAGCGCATTACTGAAATGGACACGTTTGGCCTGATATAGAGCCCATATTCACATTTGAATCCCTCCATCGACCTCAAGCTAATTCTGGACGCACTGACTATGCTAGTAACCTTTCCAAGGTCCATAATAACTCTCCTTTCTTTCATAACGCATAAGAACAACCATCATAACCGGAGAAATCCTCCACATTCCACAACTTAATAGACTGAGTGCCCTCCAGGCATTTTATTCTCAAATCAACGATATTATCACAACCTTCTTATTTGGTTTAAGTCTTTAATCAATCAAGTGACTACCTGCCACACCTATACAATCTTCCTGTGGGACACACTCCCACAACCTACCATAACAAATAACTGGGTCGTACCTCCAAACCACCAGCCGCACTAACGCTGAAAAGCGATCAAGAATCATTAACCAGGATGCAAAGCCTTTTTCACAAAACACCGATCTCGGGTGACGCTGAAGACAATACCAACTTACCTTAAACCTCGAATCTACTTTCCTGCTCATTCGAGCTTGTGACATCCTTTTCAACACCGAACCGTTACCTTGATCTTCACTTCAAATTCCATACCACTCACTGCACNTGGAATCACTACATTTTTCTTGTTATATTTAATTTCTTAAGATAACGAGAAAATAAAAATAAAGTAAGACTATTATAATTTAAATTCATAATTTTTAATAACTTAATTGTACAAATTATATATATATATATATATATATATATATATATATATATATATATATATATATATATATATATATACCTATGGGTATCTGGCTCGATATTTTTAGGCCCAGTGGCACCAAACTATCATAAATATTTATGTGTTTTTCTTATAATTTAAATTCATATTTTTTAATAACTTAATTGTACAAATTACTAATTATGTTTTTTTATTAAACACTAATATTATTTGATATTAAAAGACTAATATTTTAATATTAAAACACTAATATTAACCACTAATATTTTAATAACTTAATTATGTTTTCTATGACAAATTTATATTTTATTAAAAAATACTAATATTAAATCCGGATAAATTTAACATGCTAGTTTCGAAAAAAAAACATAAACCGAA